AGTCAGTTGCCTTACTTGCATTACACCATTTATCAAAAAGAACGCCTTTTTCTCGCGCGTACTCAACAAACGTCTGGCTAGAAAGCTTTTTGTGATTTCTAAATTTCTGTCTGTATGCTTCAGGTACGAGTTCATAAGCACGGAGGATTGCTGATTTAGCAGTATCATAATTAAGGCTGTCCTCTAAGGACAGTGTAGCAAAAACCTCCTGTGCCTTTCCAACCAATTTGCACTGGAGAAGAAGGGACCATGAATCTTTAGGCCAGCGAAAAGAAGCCGCTATGCGCTCGAAAGCGCTAAAATATGTATCGACTTCGGATTCCCTAAATATTGGTACGAGAGATACATATTTGCTTATATCGAAGGTGGTTGAGGTTGGATCGCCCACCGGAGCAACAGAGGTCTCAGCACGGGTGGACTGCGCAGCCACTTTAGGAGGAGTTTTTAAAGCCTCCAACTCCAGCTGACGCAGCTTCACCTCTTTTTCGGCCGTAACTTCAAGCCTGCGGATTTCGAGTCTCAGTTCCATCTCAGCCTGACGCGCTTGTGCCCTTTCCTGTGCCTCAAACTGTAAACGGGCCAGGCGGACTTTTAAACGTCCATCCTCTTTAGACCCAGAATAAACGGGGGAAAACGGATCGAAAGGTGACAGTGTTGGCTTGCCTTCAGTGAGCGCAGCCGCAGCACCGCTTTCATTTCGCCCTTCATCCGGCTCATCTGCACTTGAGCTTTGCGCGCCAGCACCAAGAAACTCGGTTTCTTCCTCTTCCACAACAGGCATTATGAGAACCTTTAATTCAACCAACCTTTCGTATAAGGCACTCTTAATATTTTTCTTAAGAGCTTGTTTTACCACTGAAATTTTGAAATGGTCCGCTATCTGTATTAAATCATCTTTTCTACAGCGGTCGAATTGTTCTACGGTTGGATTATTAATAAATGTCTGTAAATCAAACAATGCCATCCTGTTTATTTACTTATACCAGAAACAACACAGAGAGAAGTGTGTGTGTGTGTGTGCGCGTGTTTACCTGAGCAGCGCGTTCCGCGTGTCGGGCCTACAGTGGGCCTTTGTAAATTAGCAGGTTGCTTTCACACTCAAACAAACTATAAATACAAATAATTTTAATTGTTTAAAAATGGGTTAAATGATCCTGGACGAGCCCCCAAAAATGTTACAAACCCCTGATGTTAGTCTAGGGTGTGGGGTTTGACATTTATTTAATTAAAATATATTTATATAAACAGTGAATGAGTGGAAAGACAACCAAAGTAATGCCAAAAAAATGTGTGCTTTTATTTACAATCCCAAAGTGAACAACAACAATGAATTAATCAAAAATAAAGAAAAAGTAAGTAAAGCAAAAATATACTATTTACAATATGTACAACACTGAAACAAATAAAGACGGGGAAAACAAGAGAGCTGGCAGAAGGGACGCGGGCGGCGCTAAAGAAATGAAAAGAACAAAACCCAAACTAAATCTAACTTCCCAGAAGCATCTAGCTAACTAACTATGTGAAAACAGTATAATTAACACACGAAGATCTTCCGAGTCCTAACTATCTACTCTATCTATCTATCTATCCAAAAAGTACAAGGAGTGGCGCTCGCCCCTAACCTAGTGTACTAGACAGCAGAGCAGTCCTGAGTGTTGCGAAATGTATGTCACGTGACCTTCTTACCTGTCCGCTTCGTCCAAGCCTCGTAAACAACGATAAACTAATGTACGAATAACGGACGGATAACGTGCACACAGAAACAAGCAACAACAAAACACAGTTAGACGGGGTAATTTCTAAACGCACGCGGTAAATACAAACAAGCGACAAACAGCAAAAGAGAAAATGCAAGCAAGAAAGCAAGAAAGAGCGAGTGGTCTGGCGCGCGCTTTTAACACGGGAGGTCTTTGCTTATTGGATGTGACGTAAGAGTGACGTAACCGGGGAGGAATGACTGACAGCTGAATGGACCAATGAACAGAACCTGAGAATACATGAGAGCAGATACGGGAGAACAGAGCGAGAGAGAGAGAGAGAGAGAGAGAGAGAGGGAAAAAACACAGAGAAAACAGAGCACAAAAAACACAAATACATAACACTCAGTAAACGCAACAAAAGCGTATGCTTCGCGTTGCTGTGTCAGAATCCTTGTGAAATACAGCCATACTTAAGAACGCTTAGTTTAGGCAAATTTGATGAACGCGATCATGCGTGTTAAATCTGAAGGGAGTCGCTCCAGCGCGTTGTGTGTGTGTCTGTCTTTGTGTGTGTGTGTGTGTGTGTGTGTGTGTGTCTGTGTCAGGCCTGTTGAGGGGTGTCAGGGGTTGAGTGAGCGACGTATCTGAGTAGGGGCGTATGCACGCGAGACGTACCTGAAGAGCTAGGAGGGATGCGGTGGAGAGTGCATTTGCGGGATACTCGTAGTCTTAGCAACAAGATGAATGTAAAGGACTGAGCAAAGTTGTTTCTAGTTTATAATTAATGTTCTCAACTCACAGCAATGCAACTTTACAATGAGTGCAACTGTTTTTATTCAATACTTTATTATTATTATTATAAATTTCCATTTTCCATATCTGCAATGCCTGTGTTTTGGCATTTTTTGCAGTCCACTTAGAGTCATACTTGGAAATCATTTTTTTTCTTTATTGGCATTGATTGTTTTGAAATTCAAATGGCACTAACATGACTGTTTTAATTTCTGTAATAAATGTGGCTGTCAAGATAGGATTTATTGTGGGTTTGTTGTTTACATGAAGAAATTTTTATATTAATTTTACATTTGAATAGCCAAAATTACAAGTTTCAGTCTTTTAAATGCTATTAATTTTCCAAAAAAAGTGTGATTAATTAGTATTTTTTTAAATCGATTGACAGCACTAGTATTTTTATATTCTGGGTAAAGCATAAAACTAATAAATGTTTATCCAATAAAATATTGTTAGGCCGATATCTCCCATAATTCCGATAAGTAGCTCAAACTGTCTGTCTGCAAATTTTTGTTCATGCAGATCCGCCATTTGCGCTTGCCGCCTGCATGAGCGCCACACGTTCACGACATGTGCAAACGAGACAATCACAGTTGCGGTGAAATCAAATGCTGAATGGAAACTTTTCAAAATCCTTTTGCACGTTGGAGGAAGGACGACACCATGGCTGAAGTATTTCTGTTAGACAGGTAATGTTCTGTTTTAAAAATATTTTGGTCCGGCTAAGTTTATTGTTAGATTGTGTTGTGTTATTAATGGCTTATATGCACAGACGTTTTGTTCAGCCAATGAAATCCTTCGTCGAAAAATTGATGTGACTATTTTCAGTTTTACAAGGGACCTTTGACAGCATCGATGATGTAGATTTTTATTTAGTTTAACATCAAAACATCAGTGAACAGCACTATTCCACCTAACCTGCTTTATTGAGCTTTATTTTTATTTATATTGGTTTATTTTTGAACAATGACAGCCTTTTTATACTGTTTACCATGCTACTCTGAATATTCGCTCTGAAATGGCATGTAAGTATGGCTTAGTAATAAGTGTAATTCCTACATGCCGCTGTCCAAACACTAACTAACTGTTACATTTCTAACTGGCGAATGACATGAACTAGTGGGTTATCCACTGTTGTGACGCGGTGCGCACGTTCGCGATTTCAGGAGGCGTGGTTTTGAATCACAGTTCCTTCCTGCCGTCCAAACATAATATGATAACGCCGTTAGCATTTTGGCAGATCACTCACTGCACCTTTAATACACAAAGGCCATACAGCAATACACAAATACCTTTATATATATATATACAGTATATGAGAAACAAATTAAGAATTAAAATGTTACAAAAATTATTATTTTCTACAGAAATATAAAAACCACTAGAGGTGTGAACCTACACTGGTCTCATGGTTCGGTTTGGTTACAGCTATCATGCCATCGACTTGGTTCAATTTGATATCTCGGTGCATTGACGATACTTTCCATTCACAATTTTATGTTTTCCTTCACAGCACAGCAATTGTATTAAAATGTATAAATATATTTATATATTGTTTGTAATAAAATGTTTTTCTTTAGTACAAACAGATATATGAACTGTACCTTTAAAAAGTAAATACACAGAACAACATGAGCATTTATAGTAAGTAAACAAATATAAATATCCCGAATTGTTCAGAGTTTTAATACTCAAGCTCGCCTCCTTCACCATAGTAAGCTACCGCAATACAGCTCATGTGAGATAAATGACCTCAGTACGTAATAACCGGATATGATTATTACTAAAACGATACCAAAATGTCCACAACTGCATCGCGGTGCACCAAAGAAACAATTAATCTTGACACCCCTAAAAACCACTGCATCCATGCTTTCTTCACCTCAGGGGAGGATTTTTCAGTTTATTCATGAAAATTTGAATTTATAAAATGTTATTATTATTATTTGCAGTATTATTTACTATATACATATTGATATTTGTTTTAATAAAAACAAGCATAGATTTGTCCACCTGTCGGGTTTTGGAGACGTACGTATGCGTCACAAAATGAGGCATAAGAATAGGATGTGTGTTCGGATATAACTTGACCACAATTTGGTATTATTGTTCAATTATTCGTTGCTGGAAATTAGACCTGAATTTAGAAATGGTTTTGAAACAAATCTTTGCGCTTAACAAACGAAATTAAATATATATGCAGGCTAATGGATGTCTTTAGTGGAGTAAAGTGAAGTAAATGAGTTAAGTAAAGAGTGAAAAAAAAAAAGAGAAAGTAAAGAGGCTAAATGGAGGAGGCTCAGTCTTTATCCTATTTCGTTTTTTCCACTTACAAAGTATGCAATGTAAATAGCAAATGCGCCATAGCGATATACAACTGACTCTTAAAGGAAATGGGAAATACTTTTGCGTCATGCGCTTTAGACTCGGCACCTAGATCATTAAAATAGAGCCCAACATGTTCTTGGTGTACTAGAAGATGATTCGGGTCATGATATAGTTTCTCACCCCACTGAAGAATGCTGCTCATCAATGGCATCGACAGCACTTTCTACAGAGCTCAGCAGAGACTGGATCTGATTGGCTGATTCCTTCAAGAGGAAGCGGGTAACAAACTGCTCAACATTAGTTCCACGTTCATACACCTGCAGAGAGAAAAAGAGGAGACTCAAGGAGAGGAAAAATCGCAGAAGGCACATCAGCACTTTTACAAGCATGTTTATTTGATGAAGTCCAGTTTAAGAAATTCTAGTGAACTTTGCTCATGCTTTAGGCAAAACACATGACTGAGAGGTGTGATTCTACAGAAGATCTCATGGGACGAACATATCTGGGATGAGCTTAAAGAAAAAGGAAAAAGTAAGTAGCTCGTGTAGGTAAAAGCTTGAGGGCAAGTCAAGTTGTGAAAGCTTGTAATGGTATGGGGCATTAGAGGAGCCAACATTCATTGATCTGGTGACATTTTGACCACTTTCCCAAACACACAGAGTCTGTTTTACACTGCTAAAGGCATAATGTCACACAAGGGTGTTGTATTGGAAGAAATGGACTGTGACTGTGCTGAAGGCTATAGCCTTGAAGCTGCTTTAGAGTTGAACTTTAAGCATTTTTGTTGTATGTACAAACACATGGATTCTGTCAACAGAAATCTGATATATGGCAATATATGCAAATTACATATATGACATACATTTATGTTTGGATTTCACATATACAGTTTTATGCAAAAATTTGGGCACCCCTCTGTGGTTGCATAGTTATGTGATCTTTCTTTATAAGAGAAGATTGCAGTGAAATGCTATTCGATTTCTTGTGAAAGCTAGATTATGTCATGTTTTTCAGACAGAAATACATAGTGTAGAAGTATTGAGATGTGTGAAATTAAACTGAAAATAAATAATAGGCTATGAAAAAGTCTGGGCACCCTCTCTTTTGGGTGGATTTCAAAACCTGTAGTCACTTAATGCTGATTGATTACAAAAAAAATATATATATATTGATTCAGTGAACCTTTACAATTTGAACACGGGTGCAACCAATAATGAAAAAAGGATATTTATATAGCTGATTGCTACTTATGCTTCTCCTTATTGTGAATCTGAAAGTAGCAACATGGGACCCTTCCTAATGACCTAAAATCTAGGATAATTCACCAACATGAATTAGAACAAGGATGCAATAAGCTATCCCAAAGGTTTAAAGTCTCTATCTACACAGTCAAAAATATAGCAAGAAAATGGAAGGCCACGGGAACAGTTCTTGTACAGGAAAGATGTGCTAGACCAAGAAAAATATCTGAAAGGCAAAGGCTAGGAATGGTAAGAATGGTCACAGGCCACCTCAAAAGAGTTTCAGAAACATCTTGCTGCTGATAATGTCATTGTACATCATTCCACAGTACAGCACACTCTTCACAAAGAACAGCTCAATAGAAGGTGATGCAAAATAAGCCTTTTCTGCCTTCTGCCAACAAGAAGAGTCATTTGAAGTAAGCTCATCTGGACAAGCCTGAATCATTTTAGAAAAGTATACTGTGCACAGATGCCAAAAAGAATTCGGAAAAAGAATACATCATTCCAGGAGAACACACCTCCTATTGTAAATTATGGTAGAGGGTCCATCATGCTATGCGTATGTGTGGCAAGCACAAGCATAAAAATCTAGTCAAAGTTAAGGGTCGCATGGATTCCACAAAGCAGATTCTACAGAACAATGTTTAGAAATCCAGTTACTACAGAGTTATAAGTTTCAGCAAGACACTGACCCAAAACACAGCTCCAAATCTACCAAGTAATTCATCCTGAGACATGATACAATGTTCTAGAATGGCCAGTCCAGTTCCCAGACTTGAACATCATCGTAAATTGATGAGTTAATTTGAAAAGGGAATTTTTTTGCAAGGAAGAATGGCTCAAAACGCCTTCAGCAAAAATTCAAGGACTTATCATTTGACCATAAGAATCATCCACAGGCTCTTATTTAAGCAAAAGGTGGCTGTACGGAAGATATATCATTAAAGATATCATTATTCTGTTGGGGTGCCCAAATTTTTGTATCAGTCCGTTTTTGTAATGACAAAAATTTTGCATCTGTTGATTAAATAAATGTTATGTCAGAACTTCAAATGTTGCTTGAAATGTTATGGCTTACAATTAGAAAAATTATCAGGGGTGGCCAACTTTTGCATAAGACTGCAAGACTGTCTTTTACTGCAACACTGTCATTTACATATTCATTTTTATAGGCCTACATATGTTCAAATATATATATAATATTTTAACATGTATTTGCATATTTGTAATTCCAATAGTTTAAAAAAATTTTGATTTAAATGCATTTTTAAATATATTTTGCATTTATGTATAAAAATAATTTAAATGGGTGAAATCCAAATGTAAACGTGTATGTTATATGTAACTTGAATATATTTTCATTTATCATGGCATTTAGTCATAGAAGTCTTGAAGGAAACTTTTTGTTTCCTAAAATATTTTTTTCACTGGTGTTCTATCTAGATATTGTGTGGTTGGCAAAAAGTATCAACAATTAAATTAACAACAACACTCCTATGTAGCAGCCAAGACTCAAATCATTGTAAACAATGAGTAAACACCTCAGTCTCTCGCTTGCTCCTTCATTGTCCGTTGGCACTGATGTTTTGCACTGATTTGCAAAAAAGATTGTCATGGTCAGCGATTTAACCAACCCTGGCCTTCACTACTGATCACGATTGAATATCCAACTGGAAAGGCAGCATTGGCAAGGAAGTCAAATTGGACTGCAGTGCTGGACTCTGAGAGGGATCTCGTAAATTATACCGCATTGCTGGACTTATATGCAGACTTAGAATGACTGCGTATAAATGACCATAACAGAAGAAGTAATAAAGGAGACTGGAAGCACTGGCAGCCTATAATACTTCATCAGTCCAAGAAAATAAAGTACGTGACTAAAGGAGATGGATGAAGTGTGGGTTTGTGTATAGAAGTATGGGTTGAAATTAAAAGACTTAAAGTTATAGTTCACACGCAGCCAATGTAAAACACTGAGTTGCACTTTGCAAATTCATTACAAATCGTAGGTTTGTGCATATAAGACTTTTGGAGAAGTTCAGGTTGTTTCAAATTTCTTTTAGGAAATACTGTAAAAAAATGCTGGGTTCCAAACAATCGATTTGTGTAGGGACAATATGAAGAAATTGAGATAACATTACTTTTTGCAAATTTTATTGGATCGAACAAACATAAAATATTTAAGTTGATACAACTGCAGATACAAATGCTCTATTCTTGACTTAAAAGCATATGCATTGTGCTAATTGCTATGTTTTTCATTACTAAATTAACTAATGTATAATTTACAAACGAGTTATTTGAGAGAAGTTGCTGGTTTTTGAAGATTATTCAGAATGCGCAAATAAATGATTAATAAACTATTCAAATGAACGTTTACGTATATTTCTTATTATTCATAATATTAAATTTGTACAGTATGTCAATAAATGCTTTGTTAACTTCATTCAGTTTAGTGACCTAATCTAGTGAGAACTATTCATGCTTTATAAATCCCTTATAAATGACAATTAAAGGCTCAGTTAAATTCTAAACAGGAAAAAAGAAAATAAACGACTTTATTAATGTATATTTATTTGAAGATACACAAATGAAACTGTTTCATAGGAAAAATTAATCTTTGCATTCTTTACTAAAAGAAAATTGCACAGTTTAAACAAGGCTAAATAACATTGAAATGTTGTGTCATAATTTATTGTTACATTTATATATTGTTGTTTTATCCAATTTTTATGTTGTATTTTGTTACTCAGCAATATTTAAACTACACAGTAATTTACTTTTTAGATAAGATTGAAAAGATTAAGACTGGATGAAGTTGAGTTAATAAAGCATTTATTATCATACAAATTAACTATTAATATATGCCTGAATAATAAAATATGAATGTTGATTTGAGTAGTTTATTAATCATTTACTAACTCATTCTGAATGATCTTAAAAACCCACAAACACTCTTAAACACAAATTATTTGTAAATATTGCGATGGTTAATAATTTGTATGAAAAAATAATCAGTAACAAAGTATGAAACCACAACTATTAAGCACATTTAAAATGTGCTTATAAGTCAAGAATAGAGCATTTTTTCCCATAGTTATAAACTGTTTACTGAAGTCTATTAATGTAGAGTTATTGCTGTACAAATTGTACACTGTTTACTAATGTTTAATAGATGATTCATAGTGTGTAGATATTATAAAGTGTTGCACACATTTCCTTTGTCTTTGCCATGATGACAGCACAATAATATTTTACTAATTATTTTGCAAGATATTCACATTCAGCTTAAAGAGCAATTTAAAGACTTAAATAAAGGTAAAGTGTGGTTCATTAGGTAAGTCAACCATATAGTGGTTACTTCTGCAGACAGTCAAAAAATAAAAAATAAATAAATAAATAAATCTTAAGTGGGGCTAAAAGTATTGACCTTAGCAAACATTTATTTGTATTCTATCCAAACTAAAAGAAATCTGACTTTCTCCAAAGGAAAAACATAATATAAATATTGGAAATATTGTGAAAAATAAAATAGGATTAAAATATTTGAAAAATAATTCCACAGGAGCTAATCATTTTGTCTTCAACTGTATATATACTGTAGGTTATCACTAAAAATAAAAATAATTTGTATTAAATATTGTGTTAGTTATATTATGCCTAGTATAATTTTATGATGACACAGCATAAAAAAGTTGCATAAAAACTTCCTCTGGCTTTGGCTGTGTGTGTGGTGTTAAATAAAGATCCCTTTTCTAAATGGAGGACAGTAATGTTTGTCATGCCCACCTGCCTGAACAAGGAGCCACCAGGTGGTGACAATGGCGGTTAGGAAGGCTCAGAATGATTTATGCTAATGCTATGCCAGGTCAGCGGCTCTGCACTGCGTTTTAGTGCCAACGAGAGCCTCAACACACACCAGCAAACACTGAGGCAGGGCTTACTGTCCATGCCAACATAAACATGATTCCTCAACATAACGAGCAAAACAAATAACGTTTGAATCCCGCAAAACGCATTAACCAAATGACAGAAATAATCACATTAAATGTAAATCACACTAACTAAGACAA